CCCCTTCAGTCATTCCTTTAGGTCAGCTTCCCGTTGCAGTGACCATCAGAGTTGGAGGTGGCAATGTGGCGCCTTGAAAGGAGCTCTATTTCAGGAGTCGGGAGACCTGCCACCAATAAGCTGTGTGACTTTGTCCTTTCTGGACCTCCGTTTCCTCACTTGTAAAATAGGTTGGATAGGGTGGTCTTTAAGGTCCCTCTCTGTGCTGTATTTTATACTGCTTCTTGATCTGAGCCATTGAGCCACGAATGAAAGATTCCTGCTGTGGTAGTGTAATTAGGCTGAGCAGATGGGTGAGATGAGAGGGAAGGAGAAGTTCTTGCCCAGGATCATCCTTTCCCCACCCGTTTCATTGTGCCTTCCTGGTGTTTTCAAAACACAAATGGCAACCTGTGTTTTTCTCGAAGTTCCTTGTTTTTCCTCTGCGTTCCCATTTCAAGCCTATAATCTTGTATCTGGATGAACTTGTGTTTACTGTAAGACAGCCCTGGTGCAGAATTCATGTTACAGCGTGTTGTTTCCTTTCTGCTGTGGGGAATGTGATGGGGGTTGGAGCCATCACAGCTGGTCCCTGGAGAGGGCTGTGTGTGTCAGAGATGTATTGTGCTGGGCTCCAGTTTCTTTTCTGAATCCCTAGTTCTGATTTTGCTGATTTCAGTTAAAACCAAAGATTGTGAAGGAGGCCGGTTCTTGTCCTCTGAGTGTTGGAGATTTGTGGTGTGGTTGAGGGCTGAGGGGCCCCTCTCTTCCTGTTTCCTTTGCTTGAAGCATTTCACCTTGGGAGGGCATAAGTGAGCCTTGTTGAACACCATCCACTCCCTGGGTGAGAGGGAGCAGTACTGAATACTGATACGTCATTGATTGATTTCTTTTTAATGAGTCATGAAAGTCATTTTGATGCCAGAATTTTCCTTTCACCTTCAGATAAAATCTTTTGTCTTTCATTCCCTGAAAAACTTCTAGGGGCTTTTAATAATTATTAAATTACAGGAAAGACAGTAATTTTTGAATGCTGCTGTTGCTGCTGTGGCTTCTCCTCGTCTTCCAACCCACTCCCACCTGCCTTAACATTTGTGTAGAAATGTGTCAAAATTCCAGTGTTTCGTCCCATTAGTTTTTTATTTTGATCCTCTCCTGGTGAAGTAAGCATCTTGTTACCCCATTTTACAGAAGAGAAAACAGATGTGTCGAGTTAAATGACTTGTTCATGGTCACACAGCTAGTTGTTTTCCAGTTTGGGATAAGAATCCAGGATTCCTGGTTACTAATGACTTGTTAATTTGGCAACTCCGTCCCCGTCCACCCACCCCCACCCCCCCGCCCCAAGATAAAATCTTTTGTCTTTCATTCCCTGAAAAACTTCTAGGGGCTTTTAATAATTATTAAATTACAGGAAAGACAGTAATTTTTGAATGCTGCTGTTGCTGCTGTGGCTTCTCCTCGTCTTCCAACCCACTCCCACCTGCCTTAACATTTGTGTAGAAATGTGTCAAAATTCCAGTGTTTCGTCCCATTAGTTTTTTATTTTGATCCTCTCCTGGTGAAGTAAGCATCTTGTTACCCCATTTTACAGAAGAGAAAACAGATGTGTCGAGTTAAATGACTTGTTCATGGTCACACAGCTAGTTGTTTTCCAGTTTGGGATAAGAATCCAGGATTCCTGGTTACTAATGACTTGTTAATTTGGCAACTCCGTCCCCGTCCACCCACCCCCCCCCCCCCGCCCCATTAGGAAAGTCTTGCCACCCTAAGTGTTTCTTCTCTCCCTGGCTCCACCCTCTGAAAGCACAAATTAGAAGCCAGTTCCTTAGCTGATGGGGTAGGTGGTTGGACCATGGAGCATAGGAGAGGGGTGGGGAGGAAGGTGGCACAAAGCCCAGACTTAGGGTTTTTTTCCCCCCGAAGGTGGGAGAATTCCTTATTTCTGCAGTCAGGAAAATGAGCAGAGTCAGCATCCCTCCCACCTTCCCACCATCCCAACCCCCCACCACCCCCAAATGGGTGTGGTTTCTTGCGGCCAGTGTTACTTGCAAGGCAGTTGTTCAGATTGATGTACAGGGGAGACAGGATTGCATCTGGGGCAAAGGACTCTTCCTGTAGGTACACCATTTTCATGTCTGATTGAGCCCTGGTGTGTTACGTGCTCCACACTAGGATCTTACCCATGTTTGCAAGTTGCCTCCCTTGGACATATTGAACTTTTTGAAGAGGTAATATAGCATCATGATTAAGGTTAGAGATTCTCTCTGCCCAGGTTTGAATCCTGGCTCTGCCACTTAGATGTGCGACCTTGGACAAGTTACTTCACCTGTCTGTGCTTGAGTTTGCTATGTGTTGTAATCGTAAGGTTGTGGATTAAATGCATTAATGCATGTAAAACACTTAAAAAAGTACAGTGTTATAAGGAGAGTGATTGTCCTTTCATCTAGCCCTCCTTCCCTCTCGCCCTCGTACACATTCAGTGTGATGTGTGATGTGTGATGTGTGATGTGTGTGTGTGTGTGTGTGTGTGTGTGTGTGTGTGTGTTCTTGACAGCAGCTTTTGGAGTCTGCATTTCCAGTCAGACTGCTGAGCCCTCCAGGCAGCTGTAACCTCATCCAAGTTTTAGCTGTAGGGTCTGTCTGTATTTGACATGTGTTTCTAAATGTTGTCATCAATGGGCTCCTTTGTGGAGAGACCTTAGAGAAAGGAAACCAGAGGGTGTGCACTGTGCACTCCCAGCCACACTGGTTCCAGTCCCCACACCTGAGGGACTGTGAGTAGCAGTGAGACTGAGTTGAACCTTGTAGCAGGATGAGAATATTGACCAGCTGTCTTAGTCTGCTCAGGCTACATAACAAAATGCCATAGACTGGGTGGCTTAAACAACAGAAATTAATTTTCTCATAGCTCTGGAGGCTTGAAGTCCAAGATGAGGACTGGTTGGGTTGCCAGCATGGTTGGGTTTTGGTGAGGCCTCTCTTCCTGGCTTGCAGGCAGCTGCCTTCTTGTTGTGTCCTCACATGGCCTTTCCTTGGAGTGTGTAGGGGGAAGGCCACCTCTCTTATAAGGCTATCAATTCTATCTGATTAGTACTCTACCCATAAGCCTTATTTAACCTTAATTACCTTCTAAAAATCCTATCTTTAAACGTAGTTACATTGCGGGTTAGGGATTCAACTTACAAATTTTGGGGGGGACCAGGCACCAGGCTTCTTCCCCCAAGAGTTACCCAGTGAGGAAGGTTGGGAAAGTCAGCCTTGTGTCCACTTTGGCCCCATGTACTGTGTTATTTGTAAGGCACTATTGGATCCTCCCATACCCTGGGGAGGCATTGGGTCTCCATCTCCTTGCCTTCTTAAGGTTTGGAGTGTGAATGAAGAGTGGAAGATTATGCTTGCTCCTACCCCCAAGCTCAGAAATGGTGTGTATATTGAGGGAAGGGGGTCACCAACATTCTGATGTGTAATGACTGCCTGTCTTGTCACCTGTGTTGTTTGTTTAGACTAGGGACAAAAGTCAAATGAAACATGGTGGAATCTCTCTTTACCACCCTTCTCTTAACAAGCTCCCAGGAGTAATGAACACTTCAGTTCTTTATGTAAAACACACTAGTAGGCTGCTGTCTGCCATACCCCCTCACTCCGGCACCCACTGGTTGAATTATGTGCTTACCAAGAGCCGGTTTGTTCCGAAAGTCATTTGTACAGTTGTAGCTGGTATTGTAATTAAGTAATGTATGTATTTAAATATCAGAGAAACTGATGAAATACGACTGCAAACGAAGTGGTTTTCTTTCCCCCCCACCACCACCTATGAATACTAGTTAAAAGCTGTGGAAATACTCAGTGAGTCTAAGTCACTAAAAAAATTACTGTCAGGAACTTCCTTGGTGGTGCAGTGGTTAAGAATCCATCTGCCAATGCAGGGGACATGGGCTCGATCCCTGGTCCAGGAAGATCCCACATGCTGCGGAGCAGCTAAGCCCGTGTGCCACAACTACTGAGCCTGTGCTCTAGAGCCCCTGAGCCACAACTACTGAGCCCGCGTGCCACAACTACTGAAGCCCGTGCGCCTAGAGCCCGTGCTCCACAACGAGAGAAGCCATCGCAACGAGAAGCCTGTGTACTGCAATGAAGGGTAGCTCCCTCTCGCTGCAACTAGAGAAAGCCCACGCACAGCAACAAAGACCCAATGCAGCCACAAATAAATAAATAAATAAATAAATAAGAAATGGTAATTAAAAAAAATTACTGTTAAATTAGGTGAGCATTAAAATTGGGGGAAGTCATCAGACTCTTAAAGTTTTATTCTGAGATTACTCTGTCTACCTTTTTATGCTAAAGAATCAGTATTTGGAAATTATAGACGTTGTATTCTCTTCTGCTTCATGTAAGAAAGATGATGTGGGGCTCTTAAAGAGAGGGCCTCGCCTTCTGTTAGCAGGTGGGTGAATGAATGCACTTTCATATGTTTTGCAAAAATAAAAATTTAGGTGTATCCTTTTTTCTCTATTTTGATTGACCTTGTTCCTGATCTGATCACATTGGAAGGGAGGGTTTCTACTGTGATTCAGTTTAGAGCCTGTTTTGATCATGTGCTTTGGTTCCAGTTCAGCGGTTTTAGGAAACAGATTTTATTTTGTATATGGTGTTGTTAAAACCAACACTAGTGGGTCTTTTGATACTGGGGTTTTAAAACAAATTAAGGTGGCTCACTCTGGATTTTAGTAGATTCTGCAGTTCGTCTCGTAGGCTCATAGCATATACTGAGAGAGAACTAATTCCCCTATTTTACAAATGAGGAGAGCAGGCCTTGAGAGGGGAAGTGTGTCTATGGTGAGTTGTGTGGGGTGGCGGAGTACAGGGGGTAGAGCCACAGCAGATGGGACCTTCCCCCGAGTTGCCTCAATCAGTTCTCTCTCTGGCCCCAGAGCTGGAGCGCTCTCCACAGCAAGGGTGCTCCTCTGGGTGGACTTCTCTGATGACAGTGTTGACCCGTGCTTCCTACTTTGGGACAGGACCAACCTGGAGGCCTTGCAAAAGAAGCTGGAGGAGCTGGAGCTCGATGAACAGCAGCGGAAGCGCCTTGAGGCCTTCCTTACCCAGAAGCAGAAGGTGGGAGAACTGAAGGATGACGACTTTGAGAAGATCAGTGAGCTGGGTGCTGGCAATGGAGGTGTGGTGTTCAAGGTCTCCCACAAGCCGTCTGGTCTGGTTATGGCCAGAAAGGTGAGGCCACTTTAAAAAAAAAAAAGGACTGAATCAAGCTTGTCTTGGTGAACAGGTAATTGGATTACCTTTTAGAAGACCTGGGGGCCTGGAGACAAGGGTGGAAGGAAAACTGACTTTTCATTCAGTACCCTTTTGTGCTGAACTCATGTTATCTATTAGATTATAGATAAACACACTCATGATGTGTTAGGGTATTTATCCTGCTGCCCAGACTGGAAAATAACAGCAAGTGACCATTTGTTAGTTTTCTGTGTGCTCTGGAAAGAAATCTGAGATGCTCGTTTGCCATTTATCAAGAGCAGAAGCTGCTTTCATTTACCCAGCCCCAGGGACACAGAAAAAAACACTGATTTCATGTTGTTTCTCCGAGTTCCACCCCTGCCAGTAGTTCCCCTTCATCTCCCTGCAGTATGACATCTTGGCTCCCCAACATGGCATGCAGTCTTTGAGCTGGACTTCCCTTCCTGGTGACCCCGGGTCCTCCTCTTTCTGGACAACGAGGTTGGACTCTTGCGTGTTTCACAGCACACCATGTTCATTTCTGTCCGCATATTTTTGCTCATGCTACTCCTTCCATCTTTTCAAACACTGCCGATCTTCAAGGCCCACCTCCTGTCTAGCCTTCACTAGCTGCTCCCACCCGCGCTGGTAACCACTGCTTCCATGTCCTTTGACACTCATTGTCCATGGCTCTTTTTAGAAGCTCAGGCTTATCTGGTAACCATTTCATGTATCTGTCACCTGTCTCCCCAGCTGAAACAAGGGACAACATTGGGGGTGGGGGGGCAGGGAACGTAAGGTGGCCCCTAAGGCCTTGGCTAAATCTCAACCACATCAGACCCCTAAATCAAGGGTAAATCTCTAGGGCAGCTTAGATTGGCAGACCCAGTTCCTCATACCTTTCTGGTCCTACAACCCTTGAGTATCAACCAAGTCCTTAAGGCTACTTTCTCCATATCTCCTAGTTTCACAGGTCCTTTTGTTCTTGGGAGGGGTGAGCCCCCTCTTCCTCAGTCTTGGCTCCCAGGAGTAGAGGCACAGTTGGCCACTCCTCCAGTGCCAACACCTGCCTTGGTATGTTGGCACTCAGTGCTCTGGTTGGGCAGAAACTTGTTTGTTAAAACTTGCCTGTTTCCTCTCTTCCTACCTTTCAGAGTTTAAGCATTTAAGAAAGCTCCTATCCATCCATCCGCCCATCCATCATCCATCCATATATTTTTAAAGCTTCTCTTCCTTCTACCTTTCTTTTCCCAGCTAATTCACCTGGAGATCAAACCTGCAATCCGGAACCAGATCATACGGGAGCTGCAGGTTCTACATGAGTGCAACTCCCCTTACATTGTGGGCTTCTATGGTGCATTCTACAGTGATGGCGAGATCAGTATCTGCATGGAGCACATGGTATGTGGCAACCTGTCAGCCTCTGAAGCAGCGGCCTGGGAAGTGGGTGGCTCTGGTCTAATCTCTGGTCTGAGATGTGACAGGCTGCTTCCTTGTTCCTCCCTGGATCCAGATCACTGTCTTGGGCATTTGGGAAGCCTGGCTATAGAAGTTGGAATAGCCAAGAAGATGACAGGCCTCCTTCCTAGGTCCCTGTCTCTTCAAAGAGAGGTGGCAGCAATCAGGTTTCCCTGGTGGTTGTACCAAGAGCACATCTCCCAGTTTTCTTGACCCCAAGATTTTGATGTGGGTAAAATCTGGTTAATGTAGTTTAAATCCATTTATTACATGCCATGCTGTGTGCTAGGTACATGTTCTGGGGTTATGAAGATAAATGAAACAGTCCCTGTTTTCAGAGAGTTTATAACCGGCTTTAAGAGCAGGGTTAGCAAAACTATTACTGATAAGCTAGTATTTATTGGGTGTATATCATATCAAGCACTATCCTAAGCAAATTAATATTTTATTACATTTTTATAACACCTTATTGAGTTGGGTACATTATCTACATTTTACAAATGAGGAAACTGAGGCTCAGAGAAATGGAATAACTTACCCAAGGTCATACAGCTGTTAAGTGGAATTGGTAGAATTTAAACCAAGGCTGTCTGACCCCAGTGTACTTTGTTGAATCTACTGGATAGTGACTGGGGCTCTGTTTCCATCCTTGATGGCCAGAATTTCAAAGAGAGAGGCTGGCTTCATGGTTGCTAATGCTTTTCTGTCCCCAATAGGCAGCATGGCACAGGGGACTTTGGAATCTGAGATGTTTATTCATATCTCCCTTCTCCACAAAAATCCAAGTGGACACCTTGTCTTGTTTGCCATTGTGTCTCCAAAGCCACAGCAGGTGCTCAGTAATTATTTGTTTGCAGATTTTCACCTTCTTGTCATGACCTTGGGCAAGTTTCTTTATCTTCCGGATTCTCAGTTTCCTCATCTATAAAATGGCAATTATTATACCTGCCTCGTTGTAGTGAGGATTGATTAAAATAAGAGTTGTAAGTCTTCTAGCACACTGTGTGACTCAGAGCATGCCTTCTGCAAACCTTAGCTTTTGCTTTATTCTCACTGGGGCTGACAGTTCAGAAACAAGGGCTGACATGATTGAGTCTACATGCTTCGTGGTTGCTCTGCTTTCAGTCCAGCCTAGTGGCCCTCAGCAACTTCTCCACTTCCTTCCTGACTCTCTAGACCTGCCCTCACCTCTGGAATGAGAGCCCCAGGGCCTGGTCTTAATGAACTCCAGGAGAACGCTCCTGAGAGGTTTGTCCCTTGCTGGTGCCCCCATTATTTTGAACATCTCTTCGTTTCAATGATCAAAAAGTGCCATACACAGTGTTGCAGTCATGTGCTGACTTTTGTGGCGCCATATGGAACGTAGATTCTGAAAATGTCTTTTGTGCGTCTGAAGGTCACTGAAAAAGCTCTCATTCCTTCTTGCTTCAAGGAGAGTGAAGCAGTCTCTGTGGGAAGCATGTGAATGTTTCTGGCTTGGTCCTAGGCCAGGCCTAGGATGCTGATTATTTTCCACTTGGGTTTTAACCTCCCTTTGGTGGGGCAGGGGGAGGGGCCTGCTTCTTATCCTTTGGGTTTCTTGTGCTCTTTGTGCTGATGATGGTTGGTTTTCCAGCTTTAGCCCAAGAGTTGGATGAAGATGTGTAAATGGCACTGGAGGTCCTTGAAAACTAGAAGGGGAAGAGGGTGGAGGTGATGGTGGTCAACCAGTGATAGAACAAGAGAGGCCAGAGTAGCCTTTTTTCCTCTTGGGTCTTGCCAAAATAACGGAAGATGGGTGGTGGCATGGCTGGACATAATAGTAACTAGCTTTTCCATCTCTACCACTTGTTGGGTCCTTTTCATGTTATGTGACTTTTTAATCACATCAGCCCTGTCATATGACATGGATTGACCCCCACCCCCACCCCAAGCTGGTAGATGGAGAGAACAAGACCTTGAGAGGTTTAGTAATTAGTCTAAGTTATATAACCAGTAAGTGTCAGAGCTGAGCTCTAACCAGGTCCGCTTTCTTTAAATTTCATAGTCTCTCCATTAGATAATGTAAGTCATATACTCTCTCAAGATTTTCTCATTTCTGCAGAGAAATGTTTGGACTGGATGTTCTCTAGGGACCCTTCCCCATGCTAACATTCTGTGTTTCTATGGTTTTTGGCACTTGTAGCCAGTCACTTGATTACATTAGTTAATCAACATGGGTTCAGCTTCACAAACACTTATTTTAGTGCCTATTAGGGCAAAGTGCCACATGAGCTGCTGAGGGGATGGAACCATTGAGAGCAGCGTCTCTGCCCCCAGAGGTGTTCACAGGCCGCATGGCTGTGTTCTAGGGCCTTCTCAAGTGAGGAGTATCAGTGTGGACGTGAGGGCTTCTGAGCACCAGGTATGCGTCACCTCATGCCTGCTGTCTTATGAACCATCAGAAATTCTTCCTTAAGTAAACTCCAAGTTCTGTTCCTCTCCCTTTAATAGAGGAACCAGGAGGCTATCTGTAGGTTTGAGCATGATTGAACTCCAGGGTGCTTGCTTTAGAGGTTAAGATCAGGCCCTAAATGTTGACAGTCAGTGCCCTATTCATTTATTCAGATCCTGCTGGAACCTCTTTTATTGGCCTTATGTGGCCTCTTGCCATGTGGAGTTCAGTCTTTCTGTCTGTGTTAAATTGACCTGCATTGAGGCTTCCTCATTCTGGAATCCTTTCCTTTTTTTTTTTGGCGGTACGCCACTGTTGTGGCCTCTCCCGTTGCGGAGCACAGGCTCCGGATGCGCAGGCTTAGTGGCCATGGCTCACGGGCCCAGCCGCTCCGCGGCATGTGGGATCTTCCCAGACTGGGGCACGAACCCGCGTCCCCTGCATCGGCAGGTGGACTCTCAACCACTGCACCACCAGGGAAGCCCTGGAATCCTTTCTTCACTCTGTATTCATAGACATTGATCACAACCTCATGCTCCTTGCCCTTGTCCAGCCTTTCCCTCCTGGAGGAGGAGATGACACAGGATGTCACAAGGGTTGGTTTCCCATTCTCTTGGCCCATTTCTAGTACCTGCAGGGTCAGTTGTTTTCCCCCATGGATTTGGCTCTCTGGGGATATTGAGATCCTCCCACGTAAGTCCCTGAAGCAGAAGATATCTCTGGAATTACCCTGGGAGGCCTGAGTGTGGAAAACTGGCTGTCAGAGACTGGGAGGGTCAAAACCTTTCTGAGGGCCAAGCAGAGTGTAGGGCACCTATTAGGTGATATGTGTTGAATGATTGGATAAGGGAAGCAGGATGGGAGAGCGCATGGTCAGAGCTCAAGAGAGAGTTAGGGCTCAAGAGAGAGTTAGGGCCTTCTCTCTCTGGGTATACATAGCCTCAGAGGGCAGTTGGAACTGTGTGCTAACACTAGTGGAGAGGCTCAGAGTTGCCAGGGACAGGACCCTGTAAGGAAGCACTTGTGGCCTGAAGTTCAAGTAGCCATGCTCCAGAGTAGCTTTCTGCTCTAGGCTGGGCCCTCTCACCCCTCCTTGGTCCCTGAGCAAGCCCTCCTGCAGGAGAACTCCTACACTGGCTGCTTGTGATAGGAAATTCTCTGACCACCGGCTGCCACTTCTCTTTAGGGATTTCTGCTTTGTCTCAGCTTCCACATTTCAAAGGTGTTGTCATATAGAGCTCTGTTCATTAGCCATATCCCAGCTTCTAAGATTCTTTGGTTCTCTCCGTGTCACAGTTTTTGCCTGATGTTCCTTGTCATTGGCATTTTCCCCCAACATTTTACTATGAAAAATTTCAAAAGTACAGAAAGTTGAAGGAATTGTGTAATGTACACTCTAAAGCCACCACCTAGATTCTACCGTTAACATTTTGCCATATTTGCTTTACCACGTACTGTCTACTTACGCACTGCTCAGATTGTTTTTTGGATGCAGTTTAAAGAAAATTTGTCATCAACGTGCGTGGAGTCCCATCTTCTTAATGCACCTGGCTAGGGGCTGACCTTTTCTAGACGTAAGCTGTGTTTGCTCTGCCCAGTCTGAGTTTTGAGACCCAAGGGGTACATGGATGCTGCCTGATCAGAACAGGAATGTTCTTGTCTTTGGGGAAGTAGATTCCTACTCAGGTGGTAGCTGAGCAACCGGAGAACTGGGGACCCAGGGTTGATGTTCCTCATGCAGGAGTAAAAGCTTTTGAGCTCTTTTTTTTCCATAAAGCATTTGTCTCCTGTAGAAAACCTTCACAGAAGCACCACTGACTTAGTTAATAATTGGCTTCTAAAAATAAGCACAGTTTCAGCAGCTTTAGTCAGCGAAGGCAGGTCCTTGGCAACAGGGCAGTAGAATTGAAAGGTTGTGAGGTGAGTCGCAGGCAACACTGGCTGATCCTGATGTGGTTCATGCTTCTTCAATCCTGCTAATCCCGTTGTTCACTCTGTAACTCTGCTTGTAGCGCAGAGGAGGTTAAAGGGAGGAGAGCCAGCGTTTCCTCCTTTTTGACAGAAACGTTTCCCACAACCCCCAGGGAAAGTGTAAACCAAGACAGTTAGCTGGGCCGCCCTGTCCTGGCTGTGGAACCTGAGGACCACAGGCTAGCTCTTCTGCCTCGTTTGCATCTGATTTGGACAGAATTGCTCTGTTACCTAGTTTTAAGTGTGTAGTCCTCCCTGATAATTAGGCAAAGTCATTCAAACAAAGAGTCTGAAACCACATTCAACTGAAAGCAAAACAGAAATGGCTGGAAACTTTCTGCACTGGAGTCCCTGTTCCTGTCAGTAAGGGAAATTGAGAGGCGCTGTGGCATTTCTAGGAGCCTGCTGACTTGGGTGTGGTTACCTGGGCTGTGGCGCTGTCCTGATTTGGCCAACAGGGGCCTGTGTCATTGTGGAGGCAGTCAGGCTCAAAGGATGACTCAAACCCCAGCCTGGCTCACCGCCTGGGTAGGGCTCTTCCAAGGGCTCTTGGAAAATGTGTGTTTACAGAGGAGTTCTCTTTGACTCTAGATTGATAATTCCATGCTCATATCTGTGTGGAGATTATGGCCCATTTGAATTTTAGGTTGAAGGTTTGAAATCCTCTCCTGTGCTCCTTGGTTGTCTGACCCACCATTAGGTAGTTGTGCTAGGGAGTTTATTATGATGAGAAGTTTAACGTATTCAGGGGTGTTAGTGTGCATTTGAGTATACACCTGTACTGTTTTCTTTTTCTATCAGCATCCATGATCCAGAGTTGATCTGTGATAGAAAGTCATTGGTCCAAACTATCCTTTTTATAAGCATAGAATTTTTAAGTTGATAATCTATTTTTAGCATTGTTTTAGGTAACATTTTCTGAGAGCTCTGTATCCCTGAACTAGTCTTACCTATTTTCTCACCTCCTTTAGGTAGTGTTGTAGCTACCTAATGATGCCTTTGTACAAAATGGGCGCTCAGTAAGTATCTGTTAATTGATTTATAGATTTAATTCTCCACTTTCATAAATGAGGTCAGTAATTTTAAAAGGTAAGACATTTGTTTGTTGTAGAAAATGTATAAGCCAGGGCTTCCCTGGTGGCACAGTGGTTGAGAGTCTGCCTGCCGATGCAGCGGACGCGGGTTCGTGCCCTGGTCCGGGAAGATCCCACATACCACGGAGCGGCTGGGCCCGTGAGCCATGGCCGCTGAGCCTACACGTCCGGAGCCTGTGCTCCATAACGGGAGAGGCCACAACAGTGAGAGGCCCGCATACCGCAAAAAAAAAAAAAAAATGTATAAGCCATAGAAAAGCACAAAGAAGAAACTATCGCACAACAAAGACCCCTGATAATCTTACTATCTAGACTGGAACATTTTGGTAACATTTTTGACATTCTGGTTCTGTGTGAGTATATGCACACTTTTTTATTTTTATAAAAATGGGATTATTCTCTGTCCGTCTTTTCTTTATTACATTATGCATTGTTCTGTGACCTTATATTGCATGGCTGCATCTTAAAGGCTGGGTGGTTTTGGAGACAGGATGTCAGTGGGAACACCTCTCTGCTTCTCCTACCCAGATCTCGCCCACCTCCAAGGCTCAGTTTCCGCGTGTCACTCTTGTCGTGAGCCCTTCCCTTGGCCGCTTTGTCCAAGAATCGCTTCCTCCTCTGGGCACCTGTAGCAGTGTGTGTTCTCTTCATTCAACTGTTTGTTCCCTGCGTTGTTCAGAGGAGGATTTAAGGTGCCTTGCCTCTTTATGAATATGTTCTGTCTCCCCAGGCAGAGGGTATTTTTTCCTGTACTTATAGTTTTTCCCATTCCTAGTCCCTCATGTATCCCTCTGCCTTACACAGAGGTGATTAAGAGATGATAGTTGACGATGGTAGCTGCCCAGTGTAGACAGTATACTTTAGAAAATCAATCTGAGTTTGTAGGAATTATCTCTACTTCTAGGGTAATTTTATATTGTGACTGATAATTGGCTACACCCGAAGCCATAGAGGCAGGAACGTATTTCTGTCTCAACACATGAGGGTTCCTTGAGTGAGTATTTTTTCAAGATCTCAGGTTAAAATGTAGCCTCCACGGATGGGAAGGCCCTTGTATGCGAGCCCTACAGAAGCCAGCTTCACTCCACATGTGTATCCCCTCTTGTGTACTCCCTTTCCACCGCCTCTGCCCTGGGTCCTGCTCATGTCATCTCCGCCTCATCAGCTGCTTGCTAATTGCCCTGTCTCTTTCTCTCAGCTGCTATGGTTTGGGTACCTTTCCTTCTGCCTCCGTAAAGTCAGGTCTTAGTTCCTTGGTGGGGCTCCATGATCTGGCCACAGATGGCCATTTCCAGCCTGATCCATCCCTGCATTTCTTCATACGCCTACAGTGAATGAACCACATGTCATCCCAGGAGTACTAAGCAATTTAATGCTTCTCTGCTTTTGATCTTGTTGAGATACCCTGTTCTTGGGAATTCCCTGGTGCTCCAGTGGTTAGGGTTGTGCTTCCGCTCTGTTCTGTTGTCCCCTTGCCCCTCTCCTTTTCCAGGTATGGAAATCATGCTCATTCTTTGAGTAAGATTTCAGCTCAAATGCTATCTTCTAAGTGAAGGCAGAATTCTCCCTTCTTCTCTGTGTGTGTGTGTGTGTAGCACTTTTACTATACATTTATTCTGTTTTGTTATATTTTATTGAGTTGTATATTTCTCCTACTAGTTTGTAAATTTATTGAGGACAAGAGCTAGGTCTTTTTTGTGTCTTTATTCCCCATAGAACCTAACACAGTGCATGGCATTTTGTTGGATTTGTGGAATGAATGATTGCTTTCTATGACATTTTTCTTTGGATTTTATTAAATATAATTTGTTAGGATAATGCCAACTGCAAGTCGTGACTTACACAATGGTGACAAAATGGCAAACATTTATTGAGCACTTACTATGGGCTAGACATTGTTCTAAGGGCTTTATATATATATGAGCTTGCTTAATACTTGTAATAGCCCTATGAATATCATAATAGCCTTATAATTATTATCATCCACATATTACAAGTGGATTAACTTATTCAATGTCCACTAGATAGTAAGAGTTGGGATGCAAATTTAGACAGTTTGCCACTAGAGCCTGCACTCCTAACTGCTACTCTATTCTGTCAGTTCAGTAGAATTACTAATTTGACCACTGAATTAGTAATTTTTGACCCCTAAATTAGTAATTTATTTAATGATTATTCATAGGATTTGAGTTATTAGTTGTTTGGCAGCTCCCACAATGTTTTGCATTCATGTCTTACTTGATATCTGGAACAAACCGAAGGGTGCCCTTCTAGGAAGATTTTGTCATGTGTGAGATTTACTTTCCTGCTGAAGTTTAACACTTGAAAGAATAGTTAGAAACATTGTCACTAAATGGGCTGGTATTCTTGTTCTTAGGATGGGGGTTCCTTGGATCAAGTCCTGAAGAAAGCTGGAAGAATTCCTGAACAAATTTTAGGAAAAGTTAGCATTGCTGTGAGTATATTGAGAAGTTTTTCTTTCAGGTTCCCTCACTGATAAGTTGAGTTGGTAGGAAAGGGACAAGGAGGAAGGTAGGAAGTCAACAAAGGGAAGGTTTGTAAGAAAAGTTAGGCTTTTCACCAGAATTTTCTCTATCTAGATTCTAGATACAATACCTCCCCCCCACCCCCTGCTCTTTCTCGCTAAAACTAGCAAAGTAGATTTCTGTATATTAAAATCTGTCTTGAAAAATAGGGCAGGGTATCCAAAAGAATTCCTATTTGTGGCATCAGAAAGCCTCTTTTTTAGATTGCAGATTTGGAAATAAATGAATTCAAGCAAAGTGGTTTTTTTTTTTTTACAGTTGTCTAAACTTGCAATAGTCAATTTTGCTTAAAAATCATACTCTATATACCATGTAAAAAGATGGTTTCTTGATAAGACAGGTTAAAAAATCAAAAGAGAAGAAAAATAAGGGAAGAAGGCACATTTGTGATGTTAGATGAAATATTTCCTAGATCATTTTAAAATAGAAAGGTTGAGTATTTTCTAAACACCACTATTTCAGTTTCCATCTTTTTACATTTCCTTTCCCCTAGGTAATAAAAGGCCTGACATACCTGAGGGAGAAGCACAAGATTATGCACAGAGGTAAGAATTTATTTGCTAGTTATTACGTTTTGGATTTTTGCTGAAGTCTAAAAGTTGTTGCAGCCTCTTTTGTGTTTTGTTTTGGTATAAAAGCCATTTGCTAGTATTTTTGATTTTTACTACCACTCTTTGACTATCTAGTTTGATATCTGGACCAGCAAGAGCCATCCTCTTTTTAGTATGTGGTATACCTGTTACCCGAGGCTATGACAGACATAGTCACCCAATATGCACAGACCAGATGCCCAGCTAGTCCTTAGTTACCCAACCCCCAGTGTCCCAGGCTGCCCACTGGACTAGACTGTGCCTAGGCCCAAAGCCATGACTAACTGGATATGAGTTTGACTCTAAAAGAAACTCTGCATTCTTTTAATAAAGGTACACATACACTTATCGTATAACCATACCACTCTTAGATATTTATTCAAGATAAATGAAAACGTATGTCCATACAGACTCGTATACACATGCTTAAAGCAGCTATATTCATAGTAGAAATAACTAAAATGTTCTTCAGCAGGCAAAGAGATAAACAAATTACGATATATCCATACAAGAGAGTATTATTCAGCAATAAAAATAACAGGTTATTGACACATGTAGTTTTGATGAATATCAAAAACACTTCTGCTGAATGAAAGAAGCCTGACCCAAAACAGTACAAACTGTTTCTATGTATATAAAATTATAGAGAAAACAACACAGATCTATAGGGACAGAAAGTAGATCAGTGGTTACCTGAGGGTTTAGGGAGAGATTTACATCAATGAGGCATGATGGAACTTTCTGGGGTGATGATGAAATATTATATCTAGATTGTGGTGGTAGATACGTGGGTATATGCGTTTATCAAAAGTCAAACTTTCCGCTAAAGTGGTTGCATTTTACAGTGTATTTATACCTCAATAAATTTTATTTTTTAAAAAAAGATGAAGAAGCCAGAGGAAAGACAAATGGAAAAACACAGTGCTCTCGGCCATGTCCTTTTAGCTACAGTGTGCTAATAGTGACAGGTCTAGGGAGGGATGGTGGAGGAAGAGAGGAGTGGACTGGTGAAATTGACTGGCCAGCTTATGAGCCACTATATATTAGGTAATACATTCTAAATTTTAGAATAGGTATTTTTTTAATTAAATTTTTAAACTTGTAAAATATACATAACATAAAATTTATCATTTTAACCATTTAAAAATGTACAGTTCAAGTAAAATTTTTAAAAAAGAAATAAAATATACAGTTCAGTGGCATTAAGTACATTCACATTGTTATGCAACCACAACCACCATCAGTATTCTTAAGATGTCAGTTTTGCTTTATTTGATCTGTAGATTCAAAGCCATCCCACTGAAAATCCCAGTAGCCTTTGTAGAGTTGACAAATTTTGTCTAAAATTTATAGGGAAGTGCAAAGAACCTAGAATAGACCAAACAACTTTAAAAAGGAAAAACGAAGTTGGGGGACTTAGACTACCTGACTTCAAGGTTTTATTAGAAAGCTACAGTAATCAATAGAGTGTTGCATTGGTGTGAAGCTAAGCATAATAGATCAAATAGAACATAATGAAGAGTTCAGAAGCAGACACATACATAAAGAGTCAATTGAGTTTTGGCAAAGATTCCAAAGTAGTTCAATAGGGGAAGAAGAATCTATTCAACAAATGATGCTGAACAATTGGATATCCATATGCACAAAAATGAACCTCTACCATTACCTCACTCCATATACAAAAATTAACTCTCAGTGGATCATACAACTTCTAAAACTTCTAAAAGAAAACATAGGAGACTATCTTAGTGACTATGTTTTAGCAAAGAGTTTTAAAATGGGACATAAAAAGCACAAACTATAGGGCTTCCCTGGTGGCGCAGCGGTTAAGAATCCGCCTGCCAGTGCAGGGGACATGGGTTCGAGCCCTGGTCCGGGAAGATCCCACATGCTGGGGTGCAACTAAGCCCGTGCGCCACAACTACTGAGCCTGCGCTCTGGAGCCCGTGCTCCGCAGCAAGAGAAGCCACCGCAATGAAGAGTAGCCCCCACTCACCACAACTAGAGAAAGCCCGCCTGCAGCAACAAAGACCCAATGCAGCCAAAAATAAATAAAAATAATTAAAAAAAAAAACCCAATGAAGTTTAAAAAAAAAGCACAAACTATAAAGGAAAAACCAATAAATTGAGCTTCATCTAAATTAATAACATTTGCTTTTCCAAAGACGCTGTGACAAAAATGAAAAGGCAAGCCTTGGACTAAGAGAAAATGTAGGCAAAACATATATCCATCAAAGGACTTTATCTAGAATATATAAAGGCCTCTGACAACCTAATAATAAAAAGATAAACAATGCAATTTTTAAAAAATGGGTAAAAATATATATGCTGTCTACAAGAGACCCACTTCAGACCAAGGGACACATACAGACAGAAAGTGAGGGGATGGAAGAAGATATTCCATGCAAATGGAAAGCAAAAGAAAGCTGGAGAACAGTATGGAGGTTCCTTAAAAAACTAAAAATAGAATTACCATATGACCCAGCAATCCCACTACTGGGCATATACCCAGAGAAAACCATAATTCAAAAAGATACATGCACCCCAATGTTCACTGCAGCACTGTTTACAATAGCCAGGTCATGGAAGCAACCTAAATGTCCATCGACAGAGGAATGGATAAAGAAGATGTGGTACATGTATACAGTGGAATATTACTCAGCCATAAAAAGGAACAAAATTGGGTCATTTGTAGAGACGTGGATGGATCTAGAGACTGTAATACAGAGTGAAGTAAGTCAGAAAGAGAAAAACAAATATAGTATATTAATGCATATATGTGGAACCTAGAAAAATAGTACAGATGCACTGGTTTGCAGGGCAGAAACAGAGACACAGATGTAGAGACACAGAAATAGAGACACCAAGCGGGGACAGTGGCAGGGGTGGTGGTGGTGTGATGAATTGGGAGATTGGGATTGACATGTATACACTAATAAAATAGATAACAAATAAGAGCCTGCTGTATAAAAAATAAATAAAATTCAAAAATTCAAAAAAAAAAGACAAGAAATGTTGGAGAGGATGTTGAGAAAAGGGAACCCTTGTGAAGTGTTGCTGGGAATAGAAATTGGTGTAGTCACTATGGAAAAGGGTATAGAATTTCCTCAGAAAATTGAGTGGAACTACCATATGGCCCAGCAATCCCACTTCTGGTATTGGGGTATATCCCACTTCTGAAGAAAAGGAAAACACTAATTTGAAAAGATATATACACCTCTATGCTCACGGCAGCACTATTTACAATAGCTAAGATAGGGAAACAACCCATTGTCCAATGACAGATGACTGGATAAAGAAACTGTGGTACAGATATACAATGGAATATTATTCAGCCAAATAAAAAATGAAATCTTGCCATGTGATAACATGAAAGAACCTCGAGGGCATTATGCTAAGTGAAGTAACTCAGACAGAGAAAGACAAATACTGCATGATCTCCCTTACATGTAGAATCTTTTTTTTTTTTTGCATTACACGGGCCTCTCACCTGTTGCGACCTCTCCCCTTGCGGAGCACAGGCTCCGGACGCGCAGGCCCAGCAGCCATGGCTCACGGGCCCAGCCACTCTGCGGCATGTGGGATCTTCCCGGACTGGGGCACGAATCTGTGTCCCCTGTGTCGGCAGGCGGACTCTCAACCGCTGTGCCACTAGGGAAGCCCCATGTGGAATCTTTTAAAAAAGGAAAATCCCAGCTCATAGATAGAACAGACTGGCGGATGCCAGAGGCAGGAGGTTTTTGGGGTGAAATGCCTGAAGGTGAAAAGGTACAAACTTTCAGCTATAAATAAGTCATGAGATGTCAGAAACAGCATGGTGACCATAGATAATAATATTATATCGAATACGTGAAAGTTGGTAAGAGAGTCGACCTTAAAAATTCTCATGAAAGAAAAAAAAATGTACTTATATTTGGTGACAGATCTCATTTAGACTTATTGTGGTGATTATTTCACAATATATACAAATAACGAATCCTTATGTTGTACAGCTCAAACTACCATAATGTTATATGTCAGCAATAGCTGAAGAAAAAATAAACTATGATATCCTTGGAACAATAAAATATCAGAACTAGTTGTGACTTCTGAAAAGAAATGGGTAAAAGATTTGAACAGACACTTTACTAAAAAAGATATGCGAATGGCAAATAAGCACATGAGAAGATATTCAACATCATTAGGGAAATGTAAGTTAAAGCCACAATGAGTTACTGCTACACACGCACTAGAATGTCTGTAGAGAGTAACTGTTATTGAGGATGTGGAACCACGGGAACTCTCAGTCACTGCTGATAGGAATGTGAAACAGTGCAGTTGTGCCGGAAAACAGCTTATCAGTTTCATAAAATGTTAAGCATGTATCTATGATACATTCAACCATTTCACTCGTAGGATTTTCCCTAAAGAAAAGAAGAAAGCATAGGTCCAATCAGGCCCTTGTACCTGAATGTTCATAGTAGTTTTATTTGTAATAGCCGAAAACTAGACACAACCGAAATGTCCATCAACAGTTGAATGCATAAACAAATTGTGGTATATCCATACAATAGTATACTGCTTAGCAATAAAAAGAATAAACCATTGATAATTTCCAGCAGTATGGATGAATCTTAAAAGAGTGATGCTGCATGAAAGAGACAAAGAGCTGTGTCACATACTGTGTGAATCTATTTACATAATTCTAGAAATTGCAGACTAATCTGTAATGACAAAATACAAATCAGTGGTTGCCTGGACAGTGAAGGAAGGGGAGGAAGGGAAGAATTGCAAAGGAGCATGAGGAAACTTTGGGGGGGTGATAGATGTGTTTATAATCTTGATTGTGGGCATGGTCATATATGTAGTCATCAAGTGATATACTTTAAGTATATGGAGTTTATTGTATGAAAATTATACACCAGTAAAGCTGTAAAAAAGCAAGAAGCAAAAAAAAAAAAGTCAAGTTGTTGAAA